TTGCATTACGTTTTTTCTGCTCATTAATACTGTACTGTTAGATGTAGCCTATTATTTATTTACATAAATAATTTGTGTATTATTTTATTTACTTTAATAATTGTATTATTTTATTCAATTTATTTAGTTAGTTTACTACTGGCAGCCTTCTGCTCTAGAACACACCCTAAAACTTGTCACCCGAAATGACCAATTAAATTGATCTGTAGCTTTGAAACAACTATAAAATCAGCTAAAATTAGATTACACTTGCCATTGTGCATAGTCAGTGGCTCTGTGTTCACTGCACAATGACGATAAAGTTTAATCTAATCTGATTTTAATGGTGAATATGGTATTTATAGACTGTGTAAACTACCAAAAAGATACTTAAGTACAAGACCGTAACCTTGTTAATGTTCAAAATTGAAAGCGTATTAGAAACCAACCTTGTATGCACTATTATATATGTATATAACTGTCTATTTTCAGAATTATATATATTTACTTATGGTAAATCAGAAGGTCTGGTCATAAAGAGGCATCAGGTGATCCCATGTGAAGAGTTATTCTTATTCTTATCAGTTAGACTGTGTCAGAAGTCACAGGGTCTTATATACTGTTGACACTGTCCAAGCCCAGCAGGTTTAGTATGGTATCCGCTTCAGCTTTGCTGTGAAATAAAATAAACTTTAACTTGGGATTCATACCCACCGGCTCTTTCTGAGGTGTAGTGTGAGGGAGGATCTGCTGGTGTTATAAAATAAATCTCCCATCGGCCTTGGTAAAGTTCAGATCGTTCTCCCAAGCAGGAGGCCCATTATCCGCAGAAACATAGACTTAATCTGAAACTTTTCCAAGAAATGAACTTGGACGAGCATAAGCCATCTAAGGAAAGATTTAAATCTACTTAGTATTCAATGTAACATAATAAACATTGGCAGGTTTTAATACATACTCTCTTAAAAATAGGTTCCAAAAGGTGGTTTTTGCAGCAATGCCATAGAACACTCTTAAAAATAAAGGTTCTTTATTGGCATTGATGGTTCCACGAAGAAGTTTTAAAATCCATGGAACTTTTCCATTCAACAAAAGGTTCTTTATATTTGAAAAAAGTTTAGATAAAAGGTTCTTTAGATTATTAAAATGTTCTTCTCTTCACACTAGCAAATTAATGGTTCTTTTAAAGGGGTCTTTATAAATGAGGCATTTGTTGCATCCAGTGGGGACATAATTACTGATTATAATGACTTAATAATGTCTCCACTGCGTTGCATCGCGCCGCATAAACATAAAACATAAAAATGTCTGCATTTGTGATCGGAGAAACAACAAACAACAAGCGCTACTCTACACTGCTCAAAACTCGCGTTTGAATCATCAGTGGCAAATCCTTTAAATATGAAAACGTACTTACAGGCTGTGAGTCAGCATTATTTGTCAGTATCATAGACTGTGGTCAGCATGTGCGCCAAAGGGGAAACGGGAACTGAATTCACCTGAACACCGGCATTGTAGGCTACTCTCCCATGGGAAACAGTCCTCGTCCTCCATAAAATGTGCTGCACACATCTGA